TTTGTTCATTGCAACTATGGAGACCAAATATTATATAAGTCATGAGTCAATTATAAATCCGTCTAACCCGACCCGCCTACTTTAGTCTTTGTTGACAAGTTGTCCCAACCCGACCAACCCAACCCGACCGATACTTGATTGGGTTGGGTTTCAACCTCTACACGGATTGTGTTGGGTTAAATTATGATCAAACTGCTCATGTTGGGTTAGGTTTGGGTTGAGGCAAAAATTGACCCAACCCAACCCATGGCCACCCTTATCTGCAACGGTACTAATAGAGTAACGACAATTATCACCCAAGATACAATGGATTACTTCCTTCTAGTAGAAGCACTTCAAACTGTAATGCAACAACAAACTTGAACGAATTATTCTCTCTATAAGAAGATGTTTTTGGAATTTTTTTTTGTAAGTTTTTGCAAGACTTTTGATATAATGTTCAATGCAAAATGATATGGGATGCATAATGGATGTCCAAATTGATCCTATTTATAGAATATAAGAGGTTGTAAGTGAAGTGTCACGTCCCAAGCTCAACAATATTCACGAAAGGAAGCAACCTTTGCTATCGCTAGCATGTCACTGGACTCTTACTCGAGCGACATTAACACCTATTCAACAGAACACCTCTCGCTCATCTGTCACTAGCGTGTCGCTCGAGTGACCGTCTGATCGCTCGAGGCGAGAGATGGAGTTAGGCAAAAATCCGGCCAGCTTTTCCTCTTTTCTTTCCAACTTGGCCACAATTTTTCATTCATCCGAAATTGGTTTTGAGATTTCAAATATACCATGATGATCTACTCAACAAGTAGAACAAGTTAGTCTATTTATATTTATAGTTTAACTATCGGATCAAGTTCGAAAATTTGGCCAAAGTTGACATAAAGTCAATTTTTAAGTTGTAAACTTAACTAAATTTTCATTCTCTAAACCAAAGTCCAACATATGATGCAGTTAAACAAAGTTCCAGAACAACCAAGAAAAGGCAACAATAATTGAAGTAGTAAAAAAGGGATAAAAAGAAAAGAAGTGGCAAGATTGCGGATCGAAGTGTTAGAATTTCTTCATAGTCGAATCATAACCAAACAACAGTCCCATAAACGTCACCACATGCCACAACCTACACCTACAATCGTTGTGGAGATAGGAGCTCATCCAAAATTGGAAGTGTGAAGTGAAAGAAATAAGGAACTTTTATATTTAGTGAACAGTAAAAGTAGAAGCCAGTTCTCAAATAGTGCAGAGGCAGTTTCAGTGTGAAAATGTGGGCTTCACAAATGAACAGTGATCACATTGCCTCTTTTAGTAGAAAAAAAAAACTAGTCTTTGCCCGTGGGATATTTTGAAGCGAATGTTAGTATGTTCAATGTTAAGGATTGACGAGATATCTGTGCGTTGATTGAACAAAGGTTAATGTGTAGCTATAGATGTTAGATTTTTGTATTTTAGACAACTGATGTACGACAACAACTTTTCAAAAGGATTGCATATGCTATTCAGAAACCAATATGGCAAAGAAGAGATTTACATTTCGATTTCATAGTGAAAAAAATGAAAACATATGACTTGTGCCCATTAAAAAAAGGCGCGGGAAAATGGATATTAAAATATCCAAATAGGCAAGAACCATAAACAGCAAGAGAAAGTAAAAAACGAATGCAGAATATAGATAAGGAACAACTAATATACTGCTGCAACCACAAAGAAAGGAAACTAACCT